ATTATTATTATTATTATTATTATTATTATTATTATTATTATTATTATTATTATTATTATTATTATTATCATTATTATTATCATTATTATTATCATTATTATTATTATTATTATTATTATTATTATTATTATTATTATTATTATTATTATTAATTATTATTATTATTAATATTATTATTATTAATTATTATTATTATTATTATTGTCATTACTATTAGTCAATATATATCATCAGTGGACTGCTTATTGGTTACTGGAAATCGATTCATCGGATTTTTTTACTTTGTTTAAATCCAGAATTTTAGATGAAATCTATTACTCAATGAGATTGTATTCCCATTGTTAATTATTCCCTTTTGATAATTAATAGCATCTTTGAAATTCGATTGTCAATCATTTCAAGTCCCATAAAATCGTTCAGATGTTGACATATGTGTCCAAGAGATAAGTATGCCACAAAACATTTAGGGAATTAGCAAAACGTCAAGTTAAAAAAAAAACGGAAAAAAAGAACTTATTTATGGAAACAATGAAGAGAAATAGAAAAATTAAGAAAGAAAGGAATATGTATGGAACAGTGAATTTTAATATATTAAAATCCAGTTTAGACAACACTAACGAAAGAAGAGAATCAATGAATATGCTATCAAACGATGACAATCAGATCAATCCTGTTGATAATGATTAATTATCATTGGATATGGTAGGCAATGTAGCAATCATCACTAGATTACATCATTAGACTATTTATATTATAAACTTACAATTGGGATATTGATCGTAAAACTTTTGAAATATATTTTTTTAACGAAGAAATCTCAGTAATTTGTAAGAAATATGGATTGCTAAAGTTTGCTTCTCATTCAAATCTTTTTTAATTTTCCGGAACTTCTTTTATTCTTTTCATTTTCTCTTTTTCTTCTTCAACAGATATAACTACCGTAATAGCTATAGATGTCGAAATTATGATTGTTTATTGCGAAATGTTTGAACTTATTAAAGGCTTGCTAGAAGGAAAAAAAGTATACTTGCATTTTAAATAATAATAATAAATTACAATTTTAGTGTAACTTCCACCATTATTAAATTTCACAACATTTATTTTTTATGACTCAAATGAAACTCACTTCATTAAATATATTCTCGTCCTTTCAATTTTGTATAATTGTCAAATTAAATTAAAAAACTTTTGAAAAATAAAAATTAATGGGAAAAATTTGTATGAATGAATGAAAAATTAAAATAAGTAATTATGGATTTTGGTGCATTTTTTTTTGTCTTTTACGAGCTGTTTATGCAAAAAAACATTTTATACTATCAGTTAACTTTTTTCTCCTTTTTTTAAGAATAATACCATCTTTTTGGCAAATAATTGATAGTTACACTCAGCAAATTCATTTCAATCTTTGATTTCTTCTTTTCAATTCATTTTTAATTTACTGAAAATTTATTGCAATCTTTATCTGTTTAACACTATTTGAAATAATCAAATTCTAGAGAAATATGTGATAAATATGCAAGGAGCATTAATTTATAAAAAATCTTGAATTTATTTTACATACTATTATGGTTATCTTTAATGTTATTTATCGTTATCAGTCATTTTCAACTGGTCATTATCACTTCAATAACATCGTTATCTGCATGGGAAACAATTGAAGGATAAAAATGTCAAATTTACCCCCAATAAATTGTTAGGAAAGGATTGGGGAAAAGGATGACAACGAAATTTGTAGAAATTGAAATATTCACGACCCATAAATCCCATTATTGTTATAATTGTCCCTACAAATATGCCGAATTCCTGGTTATTGTCTTACCTTTATCATCATTTTCACCTTTTCTTTTCATCTTAAAATTATTTATCTTAATCGCAACTTTCTCCCTCTATCTCTTCCTTTCTCTCTCTCTATCTCCCTCTCTCTCTCTCTCTCTCTCTCTCTCTCTCTCTCTCTC